GGATTATTCTGCTGCCTGTTTGTCCACGTAAACTGGGGCCCCGTTGTTCTGTAATCTAAGAGCTCCATATCTCCAATCCAGTCATTAAAAGCTGTCATACTAGGAGTTACAGACAACTGATTACTAGTCTCATTAGGTACTCTAACTGTGTTGAAATCCCCCCCCCCCACTATCCAGGGATAACCTGCTACCCTTAGCTTCCTGATTTCATCATAGGTTCTGATCCTGTCCTCCTCAGTATTTGCTGCATACACAGCTGTAAGAAAGAAAGACTCATTACTAGTTCCCTTCACTATAGCATGCACAAAGTTCCTCCCTGGTTTTAATACCCTCACTTCCACTTGCGGATCCCAGAACAGCCAGACCCTTCCCAGTGGAGAATCAACACAATTCAAACACTTCTTCCACCTTGCAGACACTTCAGCCACTGCCTCCTCTGCTTTATTAGCTTTTATTCTAGTTTCTAGCACTGCTACTATATCTACTTTATTACGATGCAAGACTCTTAACAAGTCCCGCTATTTAGAGGGTTTATTAAACCCTCTAACATTCCAGAAAAGAATAATCATTTTGAAGGCGAGGGTCTTACCCCTCCTCCTCCCTTCTTACCCTCCTTCTTACCCTCCTTCTTCTTTGGCACTGCTTGCAGCTTAATTGGCTCCCTCTCTTCCAACCTACTTAGAACACTGAATGATGAAGCGGAGACGTGAAAGGTATTCTGAGGGCTGGTTTTTGGTGACCAAACACGAGGCTTGGCACCATGGATCACATGCTGGAATTCAGCTTCTGAAGGCAACTTTGGGGAAGCCACCTGCTGAAGCTCAGAATCAGAAGGTAGCACTGGAGATGCTACCTCTTGAAACGAGCTGTCCAGGTTTGCTGGGATGACTCTGTCCTTTGAAGCCCCCACCATAGCAGTCAACTGAGGGTCATCATCAAACACCACAATCTCCTTGCCCTTAACAGAGCTCTTAGTGCTGGACTCCCCCTGAGGAAGGGTGCTGTTCAATGATTTTGGCACTGGTTCCTCAGAAACAGCCACCCTCTCCATCTGATGCTTTGCACAGTCCCCAGTAATGCCAAAGAGATGACAAACCGGACACACTGGCGGCAGATTACAGTAGGTTACCCCAATTTTCAGAGACTGATCTTCATCAGGCCATAAAATCACGTGATCTGGGCAGTCACTATCCACAGTAAGCTCCACCAACACCTTTGCATACCCATGTCGATCCCCCATCCTCGTAGTGTGATCAATCCCCAATGGAATCCCTAACCAGCTTGCAATTCTACTAAGTCCCTGAAAATCATAATACTCCAGCGGCACGTTCACAAGATTAACCCAAATTGGAAGCGCTTTACGCCCCAAATCCTCAGCACTAATACCCGGTACCCAAGGCCTAAGATAGAGCAAGTTGTTGAGGTAAAACCATGGCCCATTCTCGAGAATCCATTCGCAGACCTTCGGATTCGGCAACTGAATGAGAAGCATTCGATCATAGAGGAAAGAGACACGAACTACTCCATCCCTACCCCAGAGCTTGTTCGCCCAGCGACGAAGAACATATAGCGAATATTAATATATTTTATTAGTCTTAAAATATATTAATATCTCACATGAATAAGTTATTATGACTCTGGTTTTGACATAGAAAATCATCATTTTTACTTTAGCTATTATCTCTTAATAATCTAGTAATCATATAAAAAACGTTATTTTTCTAGTACAACGCGATAAGAGACTATTAGCTCATATATTTATAGTAGCTACTTTCTAACAAATTGCAACATGACTGTATTGGTTCACATATTTATAGTAGTTCCTACAAAAAAATGTTAAATATTTCGTGTTAGAATACGAAAGAAGATAATTCTTTGCTTTTTAGTTTTTCATTTTTAAAAAATCATATGTCAAATTATGTAAAAGTTAATAATTGGGTACCAACTAAATTCATGCTTTTTGGATTTTTTAATTATTTTTCAAAAATTATAAAAATTATCAAACATATTATAAACTAAAAAATAAAATAGGTTATTTTTAGTTGTTAATGATTTATATCGTTTCTTAAAAATAGAATACAAAATTTTAACCGTGATAGTTTTTATTGTGTAATGTACATAAGTCAACCATTAAATAAAAATATAATTTTATGTGTTGTATATTTATTTATAAAATGAGTATTAATCTTGTTGTGATTAATTCCATAAAAGATATTTTTTCTATAGGTTAAACAACTTAAATGATTATAGTTTGAGCTCCTAGGTTGCATGATTAAATCTTAATTATGGTGATTGATATACATGTTTTGTTGTGATCAATAACATCAAATATACTTAATCCTACTGGTTGAAGACTTGAAATGATGATAGTTTGAACTTTGGGGTCATAGGTTCAAATCTTGGTCATGATTATCAATACACTTGTTTTTAGTTTTATTTTAATGTAATTAATAACTTAAAATGTTAAAATCGAAAATGACATGGAAAATTGTGGAGCTTTCTTTGTCCTACGTGGCAAAATCTTTTAACCGTGATAGTTTTTATTGTGTAACTAGCTTTTTACCCGGCCCGTTGGCCGGAGAGTTTCATTTTATCATTGATATTAATTCAATTTATCTATATATTCAAACTATTTTAGACCTTCTAAATTTATTATATTTTGTATTGATAAGTGAGTATGTGGTGTGTCTATATATTGAAAATTCTCAATTCTTAGTACATTCACTTATACTGTTTGAATTCTCTAATCATAAACCATGTCACAAAGGTATACCACGTCCATGTACAATTTTTTCTATCTTATATGAATCCATGTTGTTCAGATGAGGACATCTTACGAAGAGTTTCTTTGTATATATACTTCATTATTGGATAAATTTCTTCATCCCAATTTAAAGTTGACACTTTGAATGTTCATGAAGTTTACTGTAAGATCTTATTTGTATTTAGTCTCTTATACAATATGTATCAATTTCTAATTTCTGAAATTTAATTTGGACTAACTGAGACTCATTGTCGTTGTTTATATATTATTTTAGAATCTCAATCCAAGATACTCATATACGGATTTTGATCTTAATATGGTGCGTTAATGTATAATTTTACAACTTGTAGAACCTCCGTTTTCTAAAATTTATTTATGTTTGGTATTTATTTAGAAATAAAAATTTCATTACTTATATACATTTTTTGTATTACCACATTTATTGTCAATATATAAGCATATATATTAAAAAGAGTTTAATTATTTTTAAGTGTAATTAATGCTTGCTTTTTTTTACCGGGATTTGTAAAATGTTAAGAAAATAAGGGAAATATGAACAATTGTAAAAGAAAATAAGGGATGGAAGGACATATTATAAGTGAGAGAAAAGTTATTCTTACTTATTATTTTCATTTATTAAATGAGGTGATCTGTTCTTGCTCAATGAATTTTTATCGAATTATTTTATTTCGTAAATATATTATTATTTATGCATGTGTTTTATTGCAAAAAATGCATGTGTTTGCTAAGAAAGATCATACCTCTTACGATGATTAACTTCTCTAATATTGCTTCATAGGTTAGTGGTTAATGAACACATTATGTTTAACATACAGTTTTGCAAAGATTCATCTAACTTTCACATGTATCATTTTTCAATGTATCTCGTGTCTCATCTTAAGATATGAAGTCAAGTTCACCAACAATCATACCGAAGTCATTTTAAAATTTTATTACTCCAAGTCTGAAAATTAAATTTCTTAACATATGACGTAAAACTTAAGTAAAATTTGCTAAATTAACACGATCTAGAGCAAAAACGCAAAATATTAGTAATTTGAACTTATGATACATTGTAAATTATTGCACCTATGATTCATATTTTTTTCACTTAATTAGAATGAATAAGGTTTTTGTTTAAGAAATAGATTTTATTGCTTGGTCAAGTTTCTATTCAAACGTTTCTTGTTTTCTCTCTTTAATTTCCATCGTTATTTTGTCGCGATAAAATGTTATTATGTATGTGTGTTTGTATAAATTTTTCATCAAAATGTAATATATTTGTAAATTATTATAAAAGTGAGTTAAAAATTTACTTAGTGAGCTTTAATAAGATATTTTTTTGGTTGAAAAAAAAGTTATATGTGTGACTCAAAGACATTAGTCTTTGCGTACATCTATACAATGCAAAAGTAAAAACAAAAACATAAAGGAAGTATTGGAAAAGAAAAATAAATATTAAAAAAGTTAGAGATAACAAATGTAATATATGTCATTTTTCATACATTATTTATTATTGTGTACATTGATATAATAAAAAAAAGGATAAAAGGGAAATGAAATATTAAATGAAGAGAGAGAGATAGCTCCATAAATATATCAATAACTATTTTTCTTTTTGTAAAAATATTGTCCACCTTGGCAATTTGTGAGCTCTCCAAGTGCTTAGGTGGCAAACAATTACTTTTGAATTGCCATAGTATTATGTATAGATAGATAGATAGATAGATAGATAGATAGATGTACATAAGTCAACCATTAAATAAAAATATAATTTTATGTGTTGTATATTTATTTATAAAATGAGTATTAATCTTGTTGTCATTAATTCCATAAAAGATATTTTTTCTATAGGTTAAACAACTTAAATGATTATAGTTTGAGCTCCTAGGTTGCATGATTATATCTTAATTATAGTGATTGATATACATGTTTTGTTGGGCTAAATTACACGGTTGGTCACTCGAATTATATAAATCTTTCACTTTTGCCACCCGAATTACATTTCTTTCTTATTAACCACTAATCTTACGATTTGTTTCACCGTTAGTCACCGACCGTTAGTCACCGTTAACGCCGTCAGATTTTTAATGACGTGGCAAACAAAACTGCTGACTGTACCGTTAACTTAGTGACATGTCAATTTTAAAAATAAATAAATAATTTTACACCTCATTCTCTCCTCAAATAAAAATAAATAATAAGTAAATATTTTCCAGCCTGACGATACACCTCCCGCCGATGAGGATCACTGGCAGCGTCACCGTCCCGACGGTTCCCAGGATCTCCCGTCAACTCGCCGAAAACTCTATTAAGTCCTTAGAGCTCTTCTTGTCGAGAGCTAATTGCCAGTTCAGGATCGTTGGGTAGGAGTTCACCAAGAGCGGCCGGGGATTTGTAAGTTCGGGATCATTGAAAGCTCTTTTTTCGGTTTCAATTTTGAATAAATGGTCGCGTGCTAGGATGAAACCTCCTCCTGATCTTCTTCCAAGCTCTAGATCTGTCGCAACACATGAATGAGGATTCGATTCACCACAAAAAAATGGGGATTTGATTCTCCAGCTCCATTAATTATATAAACCAAAACATAGATCTCGATCTTACCCAGCTCCATTTATTATATAAATCAAAACAGAGATCTCGATTTTACCCATCTCCGATTTGTCCAGCGGCACGCGGCGGCGGTCGGTGGAGGAAGAACTATTGAAGTTGAAAATGTTCCCGTCGTTGGTGAGAAGTTCGATCAGGAAGGGCCCATTGATGCACATGATCCAAGCGAGGATGTCGTCGGTGACGGTCAAGTGTTTATCGTAGCAGGCTCGAATTTCCGGCGCCAGAGCTTGCAGTCTTCCACGATGGCTGCGCCGAGCTTGGAAAGTCTTCATCAATATGAGCGCGTTCAGGGAATGGTGGAAAGGTCCTATTGCGATGAGATGCGGGGAGAACCATTCGGGCTTGGCAGATGAGAACGGGTCGGGTTTGGGAAAAAATGCAAGATGAAATTGGAATGATGAGCTCCATGTCATGGGAACTGCCGGGAAGGTGACGCCGCTGCCGGTGGTCCTCAACGGCAGGTGGTGCATCGTCGGGCTGGACGAGATTAGGAAGCTCCACGATAGTGAAGCGTTGAAGATCGGACGTCATAAAAAATCTAACATGTCATTTTTTTAATGTTTATTTATTTATTTTAAATTTTTTATTTGAGGAGAGAATGAAGTGTAATATTTTTTTTAAAAAAAATTGACATGTTACTAGTTAACGGTCCAGTCAGCAGTTCTGTTTGCCACGTCATCAAAAATCTGACGGCGTTAACGGAGACTAACGGCCGGTGACTAACGGTGAAACGAATCGTAAAGTTAGTGGCTAATAAGAAAGAAAAATAATTCGAGTGGCAAAATTGAAAAATTTATGTAATTCGAGTGACCAACCGTGTAATTTAGCCTGTTTTGTTGTGATCAATAACATCAAATATACTTAATCCTACTGGTTGAAGACTTGAAATGATGATAGTTTGAATTTGGAGGTCATAGGTTCAAATCTTGATCATGATTATTAATACACTTGTTTTTAGTTTTATTTTAATGTAATTAATAACTTAAAATGTTAAAATCGAAAATGACATGGAAAATTGTGGAGCTTTCTTTGTCCTACGTGGCAAAATCTTTCTCCACAACGGCCATAATATATGTTAAGATAACATAAACAACATGTACTTGGATGAAACATATGGTGAAAATTTAAGCACACTTATATAACATCAATTTCAAATGTTCATGTTAGAATTCCAAAGAAATGCAAGCAAAGGGGAAAACAGGAAAACATACACATTTCGCAAACCAAATGAAAAAACAACGATGTTTTATCTCCAACTCTGGAACCTTGCTACAGCCTACAGGTCAACCCGCGATGTATGACGTCCATTTTCGTCACCGAGTCCGAGTCGAACAGGTTAACCCACGAGTAGACCCACAAGTTGACAACTTTGAATAGAATGCAAGTTGGCACGCAAATAAAAGGTGTTGCTAGAGATGGCAAGGGGCAAGTCCGATGAAAGTATCTCCATATCCATACCTACCCCTGTCGGGTAATTTATCACGGGATGCAGGCGAGACAGGTAAATCCATATGGGTATGTAATTTAGAGGAAAATATTAGAAATATTCATTTTTCATTAAAACCCAAAGAGACAAACTATAATATGATAAATGTAATTAAATTTGTTCCAGAAATTGAGTTTCACACTTATTTGCAACTTAATTATAGCTAAAATATGAGGCACCAAGGCAAATTCTAAGGTTTTGAGAAAAAGTACGTATAATTTACACAAAAAGTCAAAAACAAGTTGAAAATAGGACGAGTGAAGACATATCAGATCGAAAAAAGCCCGTCCCACCTATGGAGCGGATATTACCCATCCTAGAACAAATGAAACACATCAAGTAAAACTCATCGTATCGAAATTGTCTCCCTATCCCTAGTTGTTGCAAGTTTGCAATTGGTATGAGGGGATGTGATAAAGTATTGAGGTTCTAGGAGCAGGACAACAGTTAATTCCAAACCTCTTTCTTGCTGAGGAGGAAGAAGAAGCAGAATCCTACAAAAAGGCCACATGTCAACATACACGAACCTGGAAGTAATATTCTTACAACCACCCTTACACGCCAACGCCAGAATTTCACTGGAGGGTAGAAGTGCCACAAAGAAACTTTCAACCAACCCGGGTTGGATCAGGTCCTTAAGCTTCATTGTTTAAGGAGGTTCTTAAACCATTTTTATTGGCTGATACTAGATTAGGTAGTTAATGAGGGTTAGTAGTTAATAGTGCCACAAAGAAACTTTCAACCAACCCGGGTTGGATCAGGTCCTTAAGCCTCATTGTTTAAGGAGGTTCTTAAATCATTTTTATTGGCTGATACTAGATTAGGTAGTTAATGAGGGTTAGTAGTTAATAGTTAGTTGGAATAAATAAGATATTATGAAAATATAATTAATACTACTCATTAATGATTCTCTTTCTCTCTCCCCCTGATCTTCTCCATAACCCTCTCTCTCCACTACAATTAAAAGGAAATTCGAAATTAATTTAATTAAATATTATTATTTAATATTTAATAGATTCGAACTTAATATTTTTTTATTCTTTAAAATGAAAATTGAAAATTAAAAATATGTGCTCTCTGTCACTTAGTGGCAACTTGCAATGCAGTATTAACATTTTACAATGACATTATCAGCATTTATGAAATGAATCGTTATTATTATACCTCATCATTATTAACGACTTCAATATACTTATCAAGTTCTTACAATTACATTATTAACAATTTTGGATCAATTGTTACTATTTTATAGTTTCGTCATCAACGCCTATGAATGAATCATCAAAGTTATGTAACATGGTCATTAATAGTTGAATAACAATATCATTGATTTACAACATCTTTAGTACTAATGATTCACATTTTCACATCATGTTTATAACTATCTAGTCATGGCCTCTTCCAATGATTTCTAAACACAATACTTATTTTCAACATCTTGGGTACTTGTGACATAGTGCACCTGTGTGATTCAATCAAACAAACATTGTCAAGAAAATATTAGCTCAAGAAACCCAACATTCACGCCTCAACACCAAACTTTTAATAACAATACAATAAATCATTGATAACTTAATGTATTTCGTTGAAAATAAACACAAAACATCAATGTAAAAATGTCCGGCTTCAACATTATAAATGACATCAAGCTTTTAATAAAGATATTAAAAATCATTAATAACGAATGATCAAGTCACTGATAAGGAAATAGATTTTTGTTATAAAAAAATATTAATAATATTCAGATAAAATGTTTAATGTCAAATAGCATTAAAAAAACATTAATAAGTAACATGTGTTTAATGGATAATGCATCCAAAATCTTTGATAATGATAGCAACTAATGATTGTTAAGTACCTTACTAGATATTAATAATATCTTATTATTTTCAAACATTGATACACCTATTAATAATGACACCAACTACATTACTAATTTAGACTGAAAGATTAATAACCATAGTTATATCATTAAACGTAAATTCACTTTTGCTAATGTCATAGACAAACGAATACCTAACAAGTATGCTTCTTAATAATGACATTTGACAAAGTTACAAACATAAACGAAAAAATATTAATATTTCAAATCACTAAACATAAGCAATGTTACAAATTAAATAAATTTTTGCTAATGGTTGTATTGTGCTTGGAAAAAAACATTGATAATAGCACTTCAAATGATTATAAATCATTGCGAACCAAATTGATAATACGATGTAATGGTAAATAAACTTCAAGTACCAACAAATTGAAAACACAATTTCACTTTTGCTAATGTTACAAACAGAACATAACGTAAAAAGTTAATAATGTCATATAAAATAATTAAAAATATGTCGAACAACATTAATAATAACACAAACGAATACCTAACAACGAAAAATCCTAAACTCATGCAACGAAAAGCCCTAATGATGATTCAATTTATAAATATTGATAATGTCATTACAAAATGTTAACACTAATCGGAAGTTGCCAAGATGTGAGAGAGGCATATATTTTAAATTTCAAATTTCCATTTTAGAAAATAAAATTATTAAATTCGGATTTATTAAATATTAAATAATGCCAAATAAAATTAATTTCATATTTCTTTTTAATTATAATGTAGAGAGAGGGTTATGGAGAAATCATAGGAGGAGAGATAAAGAGAATCATTAATTAATTATATTTGCATAACCCCATTTACCCTTAACTACCTATTAACTACTAACCCCATTAACTACCTAATCCACTATCAGCCAATAGGAAGGCTTTAAGCTTCTCCTTAAGAAATGAGGTTTAAGGACTTGAACTCAAGCCCACCAATGGAGAAAAAATAGTCTCCCAAGCGCCAAAAATATATAAACTTTACATCGGCCACCCAAATCTAATCCCGCCAAAAGAATATAGCTATGCAAAAATTCTGGCAACCCAAAAACCACACTTTATGCTCTCTTGTGTTAAAAATTGGACATAAGAAGCTGACTATCCCATTCCTTTTAGATGGATGCCCTGCTATATATTCAACACTGAGAAATGCTCCAAATAGACCTGGCAAATTACAACCCGACCCGTTGACCCGACACGAAACCGCCCAAAAATTAGAAATTTTTATAACCCGAAATCCGAATGACCCGAACCCGATAACCCGTGATTTTTTGTGTCGGGTTGGGTGGGTTGGCGGGTCGACCCGTTAGACCCGTTTTATTTAATATATTATTCCCAAAATATGATAAAATCACTCATAAATTGGTGAGATGTTTAAAAAAACTCACAAGGATTTGAATGACATGTTTGGAGTTTAAGGATAATCAAATATCATGTGTTTCTTGTAATAGTATTACTCTTGTGATTGTTTTTTGACGATTTGCGCAATTTATATTTCATTTCATTAGCGTGGGAGGATTTGAGAATATGTTAATTGACATATGTTAGGTAAACTATTGTCATGCACATGTGAAAATTTGTGTTCTTTATGAAAATATGAAGCATGTTTGATATTGTTTCTGAGAACGCTCATAACCCGAAATGACCTGTAACCCGACCCGAAACCGAATGGGTTGGGTCAATATTTGACCCGAAATAAGCCAAACAAACATGACCCGACGCGTAACCGAAGTTCCCAACCCAAAATTACCCAACCCGACCAGATTGCCAGGTCTAGCTCCAAAGAGATCCACAAGGGAGCAACTCCTTCCTCGCACGAACAAGGGAATAAAGATATCTGCACCCAAAAGGAGAGAAGAGAATATACTCTTTTATTTATCACCAATCTGGTTCATATTAGTTATTCAGACCTCTTTGAGATCTTGGAAACTAAAACAGGCATTGATTCATTTGGTTACGAGTGTTTACCTCTATCTTGGCATCAAAATTGCATGTCCAGAACTCTTCCCTTAGACTGGGAGAATCACATCGAGGTATCGAGGTTCTTGTTGAGAAGCCAGCCTTCAGGGTGTTTGGTACCACCAAAATCTAAATGGAGGTGCCAATTAAGTATCTTTGAACAACTAGAAGGCACGACTTCCATTTGGCTTTCATCCTCCACCACTTAGCTCTATGAATGTGGTCTCTTGCAAACCAAGAACATCTTTATTGTAGTCGACCATAACACAACTAGATAAATACAACAAGGGGTCAAGATATATGATATACCTGGAACACTTTATTCACATAATCTAATTGCCTGATCAGGTTTTTAACAGGGCGCTGCCATCTCTTCGGGTCCCACTGGATGGTGTTGTTAAAAGAAAACCCTGATATATCGACATAAAATCTTCGTATTTGTTTGCTCTTCTCATTTGTGTGCCATCCTGTCACATGAGTTTCGTTGCACACTAAGCCTTCTAGGATTGCTTTGTTCTTGCTTTGCGCAAGCATTGCCACAGGCCAAGTGCCAAATCGGCTTCAATGTACAAAAAAACAGGGCATTATAAGTGAAAGACACTATAAATGTCAGTAATCAAATGAATTCTCACTAACTTGCTATGCTACCCAAATGATGGCAAGATGTAAATAATCATTTATCATCTGTAACCTTCTAGAATATTGCAACATTTTTACTGTTTGTCCCTGTACTTGGACTAGGGGAGTACAACCAACGTCTAAGGAGTTCCTAATTCTAAATCTAGGACATTGCCAATGTGATAGACTGCAGGTGAAGGAATATAACTCTCTGGATTGACAGACTAGAATTTCAATAACAAATCTATAGACGTAAAGATTGGAACCAAATGGTAAACATCTTTGTCACTGGCAAAATCAATTTTCACCTAAACATCACAAAGAAATGAGATGCAACGTATTCGAAATGACTTCCCAAGGATTTTAAAGCATACACAATCTCAAGGTACATGCTTTCAATTTTAGGTTTTGAAAATAAAACAACGAGATCAATGAATGTATTGATTAAGAAAACAGAGCAACATATGCCACAAATAAGCAGATAGCGTAAACCATAGAACTCCAGTCTAAAGAGGAGAAAATTGCAATAGCCAACTCACTCACATTAATGTCTACATTTGAGAGTAAATTGGTCCATCAATTCAAACCCTCTATTTTAGGAAGCTAGTTCGGATTCTAAGCAGGAGAAATTGATTTACACAGAATCAAGGGAAAAATGTACCTGATTTCTCTTAGCCTCTCGAACAATTCAAGGGTATACACATTATCATCATCGGCGAAGTAAACAATCCCATCGAGCTTATGCCCCTCAATATTCTCAAGAGCTACATTCCTCTAATGAACACCTCTGTCCTTCATCAAAACGGAGTAGGAGGAGGTGGTTGTGGCGGCGGCGGAGAAGGAGGAAGAGTATTTATTAGCATTTCTGGAGACGGAGAGCGGAAAGGAGGTAGAGTTGAAGGCGGCGTTAACATGTGTATAAGTATATATAACACCAAGCCAGTTTAACCAAGCTCCCAATCCATAAGAAACCTAAAGCGCCTACATTGCAAATTAAGAGTTAAGACAAACTTACATGCCCACTTCTCTTCTTATTACTGGAAAGAGAGAGGTCTACTATTGGATTACAATTTCTGCAGAAACAAGTAAACACTAAACAGCCAAGAGCATCTCTTCAAAGATAAATTAACGGTGATATGCTTCAGATTATCAATATTACTTAGGAGCCGCAGTCTATAGTTAACTTACGAGCAATAGTTGAAGGAAAAAGCAACTAAATCGACGCACCCTGGGCACATACAAAAGAATGGAAGATATGCAATTTGGTGAAGACATAACCAATTAAAATATTTTTTCCTCTCTCCTGCGTATACACAAGGCACAGATCATTTGCTGGAATGGATCTCTTAACCAGCTTCACCCAAGATTCATTGGTCTCCTTGATCACTTTCAGTGCATAGTCCTGTTAGTCCAAAGATCACAACCAAGAAACAAGAGTTGTTTTCAGTTCGTTATAGGATAATTGATGGTTTCAACCAAAACTGTAACTTTCCAGAAAGAGTAGTAATTGAACTCTGACCTTATTTGCCGCCTTGTTGCCAATACCAAACTTGTTTGCAGGTTTGCCATCAGGTATTTTATAATCTTTGAACCAGTCCCGGATTGCAGTAAGAGTCCCCTGTCGTAAATGGAGAATTTTGAAAAAGCAAAATGTCAAACATCATAAACAAAATGCAGGAGGAATTTTTCAGAGTGTACGTAACCAACTTCAACTTGATAGGATAAGGTCCATTAGGTTGAGCATTGCCATAAAACGACCAACTTTATAGCCAAGCAAGATACCCACTGTTTAAGAGGCTAACAACTAGAATAGCATGGCAAGAAGGTGTTGAAAGGCTTTGAGAACCTAGCATTAATAAAAGGGACCAAGAGACAACACAATATGGAATTCAAATCACTTATGTAGGATAAGGGGGGGGGGGGGGGGGAGGGAGAACAAAGAACAGTAAGCTATACACTCTTCTGTTTTCAGGCTGTAGTAATCTATTTGCAAGGTCATATTGCAAAGTCGGTCTTTCATGACGTAACTCTCCAGCAAGCCATAGATTACGAGACATGTTTAAACGAGAGAGATCATCGGTTCAAATGACTTGCCTATTAAAAAACAGCAAAAATGTTGTTAACTTGTGCACAGAGTTTTATTTTTTATCTGTACTAATCCTGCTAGGTTGGACTAAAAAGTAGCCACGCGATGATGTAATATTGGTTATAATCAGACATCTTCAGCCCCTAATACCAATCAATATGGATTGCTAGGAAATAGAAAGTAAAGGTCTATAGTGATCAAAGCACATAATTAGATAAAAACATAGCCTGTTGATGGTCTTTTAGCAGTCATTCCCATATGGAGTTATTAGAAAGAGAGTCGGGATTCAGTATTATCCCAGATGTAGAAGATCACTGATCTTGAACTTCCTACCTAACAATCAGATGCTATTATTACAGAACAATGTAGGAGGGAGTTAGTCAGATGACCAGTAACACATACCGGAAAATGTTTCTCAACATCATCTATATCATTCACAAGAGAAGCTGTTGGATCATCCAAAGAGATGGCAACTATTTTCCAATCAAGCTCGCCTTCATCAATCATGGCTAGAGCACCCAGTGGATTGATCTTAAGTATTTCACCAATCTCTCCTCGCCTCTCCCCTATCTCAACAACATCAACTGACACCAACACAAACACCGCCATTGTAGTAAACTTAGACCATCTGCTTCATGCTGCCATTTGCTCCAAAGACACAAGAATGGATACAAAGTTCAAGCGGCGGGTGTACCGTAACCATGCCAGGATCATTATCCCCAAAAGCACCATAAACTTCATTGTTTGCAAATGAAGGATCCTCCCAAGTCTGCGGAAGCAGCCCGTAGTTCCAATTTATGTTGTATCTAAACAAAGGGACAAGATAATTCTTCACTACATTGCACAAAAGTATTAAGCATATTCTGTTGACAAAGTTGATTAAAAAACTAAGCACATTAGAAGCCTGGAATAAACACCTAGTAAACTTACGGATAATAACAAAGCTTCCCTTTCTTCGTATCTTGCTTGATCGGAGTGAATGGCTCGTCGGTTGCCACCTCCATTTTGGCACTACTCTCTTTGGAAACCTCCACAATGAAGTTGTATACGCCATCACCCAATTGAAGCGGCACATCGTGCCACGGCGAAACCTACTCCAAAAACCAAAGCCTTCTCCATCATATTCTTCTCGTAACCGCTATGAAAAAAATTAGCAATGGCCAGAAATCTAATTGAGTAGGAGAAGTGATTCAGACCTTTTTGCCGGAGTGATCCACGAAGAAGACACGGTAATCAAGAGTCTCCGGTCGGCCTTCCTCTTTGATCTGGACCTCGGGATTGTAGAGAGCTCTGCAAGTATAGAATCGCCGCCCCTTGGCCGACAGTGAAGAGAGTGCTCGACTGCTGAGATGCAGAGCGTCGGACCTAACGGAGAACGGTTTCAGGAAACCATAAGTTGGGGAGGGTGTAGACCGGGGATACCGCAACACTCCTCCGGCGACCGCCCTGACTCTGGAAGCCGTTGTGGTGGTCGTAGCAGCCGCGTCCATTTCACTTCTTCGTCTTCGACTTGGGGGGGACTAAAGAGCAGGGTCGACTATGACTAGGCGTTTGTGACGTTGCAATTTCTTCCGTCTCGCTTTAAGGAATAAACAGTGGATAGTAGAGAAAAGCCACTTGTTAATGGGTTGTATTCTTGCTCTCCAAAGTTTCAGTTTCACTCCAAAGGAAACAATGTTTCAGTTTCACCCCTCTGGTTCTTATTTAAGTACAAATTATGCCAATTCTTGACAACGCTTCTCTTTTCACGAATGAACATTTTAGTCCAACGTGACTACGTGAGTGGAGTGTGATAAATATATTTGGTTAATACAATTTACTAGAAAATTTTTATTTTTCACAAATCATCAGTTAAAACTCTGAAAATAACATTATTAAATTTTAGTTGTTCATTTGTTATCATTAATAGTACTGTTAACGACTCTCCACATCAAATGCTCAACTAAATTCCACTAAAAATAAGTGACCTATTTTCTTGAGTAAACAAAATTTATTAGCCATACATTTCAACTTCACAAAATATTAGTCAAACCTTTTACCTTTGACAAAATATTAGTCAAACCTTTAAAAATATTAGTAAAATTTTAAAGAACATTACAAAATTTAGACTTTGATATGATATCGTTAATGATGTTTCACCTCAACTACCACATTAAATTCGACAAAAAAGGTGTTGATTTTTTATAGCTTATATTCTTCAAATTTAATTTTGTATTATTATCATACAATTAAGAATACTACAAATAAGGTTACTATCAGAACTTCTTTTCCACATGGACTGGGGTTTCCCCCATAATAAACGCCTTCTATTTTAAAATTTCAATATAACGGTAACCTATAATTAATTCTCAATCTATCAGTATGGGAAACCAAAATTTCCTATATAGTCGGGTTCTTGCTTACTTGATTGTGGGTAGGAATCTCGCTAGTCAAACTAGCGACATATTCACATAACAAAATAGGTGTATTATCGATGATTGTTAAATGTATTCAACGTGAATACTCCAACATATATTTTATGAATATGTCAAATGTGTTGTAGGATTATGTCATGTGGTGTATGTGAATATGGACTATGGTGTGTGCGAGTATGTCAGTCCACATATAAAAACAACTCAAATAATTTGTCTAATACGTATCAAGATTGATGTCATTAGATGCTAAAAAATAAATTAAGGGTAGTTTCTTTACGATTTTTTTGTGAAAACACAATGTTTTGAACATCAATGTTAAAAACAAACAAAAAAGTGCTCTCAACACGTTCTCCCACGCAATGCAGTCAAAAGCGCAATTCTACCTACACGCGTAAAATGGGTAAAATCGTAAAACGGAGAATCGAAATGTAAAAGCACAAGTTTTTAGCGCATCTTGTAAAATAGCTAATAATCGGTTAAGTACGACATGTACTATGTAAAATGTCAATGTATAGATTTTAGATAAGTGAATAACTACTTGTAATACATGTTTAAAATGAATTTCTCACAAATAATTACAAAACAGAAAAATGCTTTATTCATCCCCGCCTCCCCGGCTCCTCCACCAAATAACTTCTAACTTGCAAGGCTTTCATTCGGCTCAACACTGAGAACTAAGACTTTCTTCCTTACTCTAACACTGAGAACTGAGACTTTCTTATCCTATCCCTATGATCGAACTCATTTGTCTTACAAAATTTTTGGGTTTGCTCATAATTATCAAACTATATAATAACTTGTTTCCACCTTTTTTTTTTATAAAAATTGTGCTTTACTTCATCAAAGCGCTCAACGAAGAGCAAACCAGCAACACTGTTTTACAGAGCCACGGTAATCCAACAAGCAACAGATCCCACCTAACAACGAACTAGCAGTATCTAACTAGAAACTAAGAAAACCAACAAAAGAAACACACAACAACAATTGAATACATCATATAATGAAAAACAAATACCCTTCCTTCTTGCATCCACCTTTCCAGTCATTATAGATACAATATTTTAATATTTTATTTTCCAATATTCAAATCACGTATCATCGTCACTTGTAGTAATTTATCATTCAATGAATGAATTAAAAATGATCCACTCACCCATGTCGGATGTTTTGATATATGTAGAACACTCAACATCTTACTTTTTTATACACTTATCTATAAATAGCAGCATTGTGCAACCATCACCTCCCCCTCTCTATTCCAATTCAGTCTTAAAGCCCCAATTCAGCCAATTCAAAGTTTGACACCGACGTTTGGCACCAACCTGTCCATTTTTATCTCTGCCAGTTTTACGTAACCACATCCCTCTCCCCATTGTCGTTGGAACCTGGCAACGTCATGTTCTTTGGAAGGTCGTAGTCAAAGCTTTACCCCAAATTAGGGTTATATTTAGTTTAGAATAACTAATCTGGTTTGCACGAATGTAATGCCAATTTGTACTCTTCAAATTGCACAACCATTCCCAACAGAAAAGATCCTAATTCACTCGATGTTAGTTGATGCGCACTTACTGAATTGACAATAGTGTACATAAGGACTGATCAGGGGATAGTGATTATATAAGCACATAACTGCATTGGAATAAAAGGAAAGAACATAAGGAAAAAGAAATGTCGTTGTAAGGACCCAGTGGCTTGACAATTGTTGGGGGGATTTGGGTATAAGAGGGAGAGCACAAGCCTTTCGCTGTAAAAGAAGCCGACATGAGGTGATAGTCGCCGAAGGAATAGAGAATGGCAACGATGGAGAGAAACATGTGGAGGTTGTTGAGGATTTGTGGATTTACCTTCTTTTTTTTTTTTGCAGATAAGTCTCTGAAACGGTATCGTTTTTAGACAATTAGCTAGTGCATTTTTTAGGGATGGTCAAAATCGTATAAAAATTGATCATAATTGAGAAGTTACCGATTTTATGTGATTTTGACAATTTTACCCACAACTGTACCCGTTTTTGTGTACAAGCGACTTTAGGTGGAAACTAAAACGTTTTTGTAACCTAGATGCGTAGAAATGCACGTTTCTATGTTTTAATGCGCGATTTTGACTAAAATGCTCCCACTCATCCAAGCCATCATAATGTTGCTTTCCCTAAAAGCGATAAAGTATGTCGCCACTCTGTCAAACGACATACCATATATCACCTTCCCAAGTGGTGACATTTCGCTTGTCCATGCCAAGTCAGCAAATATACTGCTACATTGGGAAATAACTGTGAAACACCACCATTGGGAGAAATTTCTTTTAAATACATTTTGGGAAAATCCCAACTGGATTTTGTATTATTATTATACAATCATGAGGCCGCCATACCTTCTCTAAGACTGATGAAGGAAAACATAAAAAAATCAACCAGAAGTAACTTCGATTAGGATTGGTTCGCCGAAATAGAAACTTTGAAGGGGTTGAAGAAGAATATTTTGAAAACGGCGTGGTGTTTTAATTTTGAAAGGATTGGTTCGACTGTGGATATGACTTTTATTTTTATTTTGTTGTTTTTAATCAAATCGGCACGATGTTTGTCAGCTCAACATTGTCTACAAGAACATTCAATGAGAATCTGACACATGTTCAAATTTGTTCCCATCCCGAGAACTGAGATACTATTCTTCCTTATGCAACTATGGTCACCCAATTTCTAGAAAAACTTTGGATGGATCTTGAAGTATTTTAGTTCTCCGTTAGATAAGCAAAATCTCCCTATATACTGCCACATGAATGAAACGTCCACCTAGCGCCACATTCGGGTGGTGGATCCTAGTCATTAAGGGGGAGAATCAATTACTTCCACCAAACGGTTTAGGAAAATGTTGTGTTGCAAAACAAAGCCGATAACCATGAAACAATTGACAACGTAATGAGGGCTACGATTGAAGCTAAGAAAATGTTGAAAGGGAAAGGTAGAGGGAGTGACTTCAAGATCAGAAAGTTGACTTGAGTGATGACAATGAAGCAAAAAGTTGAGGGAAATTGATCTGTTCAAAGGGAGCTTTTGATATTATCTTCGCTCAGGCTATCCTGCTTTGAGCTATAGCATTTCTTTGTTGATGACTGATAATCTAGCAAGTACTGAGGGTGAGTGATAACATTCAAAATGATGTTATTTAGAGCCCATATTTAGGTTTTTTCGAGTCTTTTCATGGTCTTCATGGTTAATATATAGTCAATTTTCCCCTTATTCGTTCATCGGAGAAAATATAACTGTTTTAGGTTGTACTGGATCATATGAGTGTTTTAGGTATCAAAAGTGGGCACAAGTGTAGAGAAATGTGCAAAAACGAAGGATCACGGTCAGAGCATGCTAGATCACGACCAGGAACTGAGGACGCAAAGTGAAGATCACGGCTGCAAAATCGGAGGCCTCAGGCGCAAACTCTTGGAGCAGCCAACAAGGAAGAAACATAAAGTTTTGATATTCCAGTCAAGACTTTATTCATCCGAGCCAACGAGAAAGATCGCAATCGTGACTCATGGATCACGACCGTGAAGTTACGTTGTGAACTTCCCAGCCATCCAAGCGCAAAATGGCAAAGCTCGAGATCACGACCTCTCCTTCCTAGATCGCGCTCGCGATCTTTGCCAGTACGACAGTGAACTTGGCCGAGAACCTAAAATCTATACAATAGGCGATTCCTCCCCCTCATTTGGAGAGCTGAAATCAATTGAGAATTTTCTGGTTTGAGAGAGAATGTAGAGAGAGAAGCCAAAGGAAGGAGAAAAAGAGATGGAGGAGTCAAGGAGGAAGGAAGCTCTCCCCAATTCAAGTCCTTTTCTATTTCTCTACATGTATCTTCTTTCCTCCTTTATGGAGTAGTCCTGTAAGGTACAGGGGGTTAAAACCCCCAAACTCTGGAATTAGGTTTTAATGTAGTTATGATTGTGTTAGGGCTTGTGTATGGATTTGTTTGTTTCGGTGATTATATGCTTCATTTATGCTTGATTATGTTGCGACTTGTCTCTCCAAATCTTCTCTACTAGCCTACAACCGAGTCTCATAACTAGGTGGGAGTTTTAGGGTTATACTAGATTTGAGCTCCTTAAGGCTAATTAAAGGTAGATGAATAGTCTTAGAGTTCCTTTTAGTGGACGACGCGATCGTACCCCTGCCGGAGGAATGCCTTCCTGACACAATGCTAGAGATGATGCAAGTGTCATTGATCCATCGCTTTAGTGTGCATGATAGGTTGAACCTATCGAGAGGAACTAGTGGTTATTCCTTAGTATGTGAGCTTTGCCTTAGGTGACAATGAGTCTCTGGGAGTGTACTAGGAGGAGGCGGGGTAATCATTGAAACCCTCAATTTAGCAAGTTCTTCAATTTATCCAGCAAATCCAACATAGTTAGTCATTTGCATGATGAAACTAGGTTTAGGGCAAGGGAGTTACCCCTAAGTACCTGCTTTGTATCCTTGCTTTCTCCACCAGTATTTTCAATTGAACTCCAAAAGGCAAAAATCCAACTAAACAATTGACTAAATAACAACGTGAAAAGTAACCTAGGGTATCGAGACCCGTGGAATACGACATTGATCGCCACTATATTAGCAACGCCATTTCAGGTTATACATGACCCGTACGGGGTTCGAACATAGAGCATCAGTATGTATGACCGTTGTTATGACTATTTGCGTATGCCTAGGATTATCTAGTGTTATGAATGCTTACTTTATTGTGGGATTACTAAGACATAAAAAACGAAAAAAAGAATGGGGAGATTGTTAAAATAATTTCCCCCTTTATGTAGTAAGTAGAGAATAGGTAATAAGGGAAAATATGTTCAATTAAATATTGGGTATGAAATTTTATGGATTCTTTTAAGTTTTTTATTAGAGGAACTTAAATCAAAAGAAGGTGCATACATTCAAAGAGCTAGTAATTGTGGACCCAGAAGACATATAAAAAAACAAAGAATAGAATAAAACTGAGAATTGTCGTTGGAATCAAAGGATACTACTAATCTATGAATAGCGATAGTGAGTGAGAAGTGAAGTGCTCTCGTATTGTTTGAGTGTGTGTAGCGGATAGAAGCTTTCTTTAGCCGCTTGCTTGTGAGGAAGAAAGTTCTTTTGATTTGAGTTCTACAATTTGTAAAATGGGTTTGTATTCCACCCAAAGGAATTTAACTTGTAGTTAGATTGATCAATTAGAAAAACCTGTAAAAAATAGGTTTAAGGTAGCCATCTTTGAGACGAGAAGTAAACAGTAGATTGAAATCGATTAACAAAAAATTATGTGTCTTCTCTCATTCTCAAGATCTATCTCATTTTCTTTCGTAGAATTCTCTTCCTTCGGTGTACTTCTGTCCTATAGGAGTTACCATAGGCGAAAAAGGAAAAGGGCTTTTGATAAACCGTGCGAACAACTGACTCTGGCTTGGTTTTTATGATCCGTTGAAGAAGGAAGCAACTGTTTTAGCTCGCGGAAAGGATTGGACGCAAGGCTGGTGGTGGTTTGAGCGACATGAAAGGAGGGAACAAGATGATGAAGAATATTTTAGAATTTTATTTTTATTTTATTTTTTAATGATTAAACTAATGAGGTGAAATTCTTAATTGCCATGTCATATATTTAACGGTCAACTTAAAGAGTTGACTGTCACATAAGCAAAAATTAACGGAGTTGCACGGAGAGTGACCGAACTTAACATCTTTTAATAATTTGAGTGACCAAAAATCGAATGATATATTTTTAGTGACCAAACTTAACATTTTTTAATAATCTCAGTGACCAATCATGGCATTTACCCAAAAAAAAATTCAACAAAGTGTCCGAAGCATGATTGTCATGCCACCTGGTTGAACCTGGTTCAACATGTGCCGATCATGAAACCGACATGACACCACCGGTATGACCGGTATGATCGACTTACATATTCTAAGCAAATTAACATCATTTTAATGAATTTAATTAATATAAAAATTAATTTATCATTCATTTTATGAATTTAATAGTTAAAAGTTGATGATATTTGTTGGATTGTAACTTAATTGTCCACGAATATGTTTTATATATGATTAAATACATTGAATTTTAATTGTTTTACACTTTTTAAACCGGCATGAACCGGCACAAACTGGTTA